CGATTCTCCTCAATCATCATCTCGCCTACTCCGTGAGGTGATTTTAGTTACCGTTATGTAGAAAACCCGAACCAGCACAACTGGGTGTACAGCACATCACGAATTTTGATGTCTGAGTAACAGCCTCATCGAGGTTTGCAGGAATTCTAGTCATGTGCATTCAGTCAATCAACTAAGGCATCCGATGTTGTACTGCTGTGGCACAAACGTTAACGGTATCCATGAGCGTTGTACGATGCACAATTTAGCAAAATACGTTTCCAATCATACCTGAAAAGTCATTAGACGAGGCAAGACAAAACACAATCCCTCACGGCTAGCAGACAGGACATTTCCTGGCTTTCTTTGACTATCCATCCTCACCCCCAAGAGAGGTCACTCCAGCGAATAAGCACGAGGACTGATTTACCGGCCCTGGATTTCATTCTAGATAGACGAAGTAGTGGGTTACCCAGGGCAGCCAGGTTTCGGCGGTAGAACTCTTCGCATTACATCGGGCAGCTGCTGCCATCAGCAAATGAGTTGGTTTTCTGTCCATTTTTCGCCCAGATGCATGAGGCTGAGTCCATCCCAAACAGTGAGCCGCCAGTCAATGCACCAGCGAAGAATACATTACATCGAAACCCGAAGGGTTTATGTGACGGGTCTCAACCAGCGCGCTTCGGTTACCCATCCCCGTTAGATCTATGCCATATTGCCTTGTATATTACACCTTTGAGTCGAAGGCTCCGGTCAGCGTTCCCATAAAAAGCCCTTCGTCGGTTTGGGCTACCGCGAAGCATTTCGTGTCCGCTGGTTAGGGAAATAGTCAGCGATAATACGGAACAAGCTATTCACAACAGGGAACAATGGCTCGGTCGCTTGGGGGAATAATTCTGCGAACAATTCGACTGGCCAGAAGTGGGTTAGCTTACTGAGAGCTATAAGATTGAAGCCAAAATCCTCTTTTTTGACCTGACTTCCCTCAATGTCCGCACAGTATCCGGTAGGCCTAGAAGGTGCCATAGCTAGTATGCTTGAGAATTTCAAATTAGATGCATACTGTTTTCGACACACGCATAGAAGACCGCACTTCGATTATCACTGTCTTATAATCCAACCTCCTCTTCGTGTTTCACTCGCCGTATGTCAGGCGATTCGACATGTGACGCTCGCAGTGTTGCAGTTGTTGATATTGCGCTGAGTGTCAAGCCGATGCTGAGGTTGAGTACAGTCTTTGGTAATCGCGGTCATCCACTGGAACAAGTAGTAAATTTGCATAGATTGCTTTGGTTGAGACGTGTTACATATTGCAGGAAATAGATTACTGAGGTAGGTGATGAATGGTAAAAATTAAAGGGTGATCAGACTGAGACCTGATATGAGAATATGAAAACCCCAACCAAGAGAAGTTTGTTCACATAGATCGCGTTAGGCTCCATGGACGGGGATCTCCAGGTAATTGTGATGGATAGTTATAGAGATTGAGTGACATGGCTGTGTCGGGAACAGTGGCGCTCATGCACCTAATCAACAATCCAGGTCTAGCGGAATTCTCTATCTTCGACTTCCCAGTGCTTTCAGCATTCCAGTTATCATTCAACCCCTTCATTCAGATGGACAGTCAAAAGACAGCAATCACAACCGCCACAAGAAAGCGCATGGTTAATGTACGTTCAAAATGAAATAATTGGAGACACGCACGATGTAAAAGAAGAACAACAGCCGAATACGCTAGAATTTGCACGGCATGAGTGATGTTATGTCGAATTCACAGATAGTCTAGATCAAAGAGGAACCCCGCAGGTGATAAAACCGTATGGCTGCGCTAGTGGTACATCGTTGAATTGTGTCTCCTTTTGTATTAGATCGACAATTGGGTCCAAGCGGTTCTTCTGTAGCATTTTTAATTACAGGGATAAGACGCACTTAAACGATGACTGCTCTGCTCTTGAGACCGCTAGAGATTTTGGAATATCTTAAGCCGATAGCATAATATCGTCCGCATACCAGGTCTGGTATTGGATATCAGCATACTGCTTCACGATGAACCGTGAACTCAAATTTGCACGTCTAAACCACACACTTTTGAACAAAAACGCTCAAACATTGCGTACTGAAATTGTTTTTAGTAGGCCATTGAGTGATGGCAGAAATATTTTGGTGGACTTTGACGCCCGGTTGAATTAAGATTCTGATATCATCTGAGACGGAAGACTTACAGAAATAAACCAATGGAAAGCAACATATGGCTGCAACTTGGTGGCCTACAACAGTGGAATACCGTCTGGAAATGATCGGGCAAATAACTTACTCTCTTCGTCAAAATATTGTCAATGCATAATACAAATATTTGATCATATCCTGCAGTACCATTACCATCAACTAGTTGCGGGTGAGTGTCATGGACTAGCAGGCCATCTGTGTATGGCCAATACCGAGCATTACACTCACATTACTCTCTAGACTTCAAGGCAACGTTAACCCAAATGTGGAACGCTCTCCTTTTCGATCATTCTGACAACTAGCACGAGAGTTCCTTTTTACCTCTCACGTAGAGCATATCCATTGATTATGACGGTTTCATTTTTGAAAATCAGTTTTGTACTCGCTTGAATTTTTCAAGGTGGAAGTTTATGAGACCTGACTTACCTCATCCGGGACTTCACATTTTCCGTCCGGAACTTCGGTTGACGAAGAGTTAGTGGGAGTCGCAGCTTTTGCGAAATAATGGGTGATCAGCTGAGGTCCAGTCAATGGAGCCGCAGAAAGTGAGCGTTGCTGCTGACGTTTCAAGACTGCAGACAACATGGACTCGGTACTATCACGGGACCAGCCCAGGATTGTATGCGCGTGCGTATATAGGCAGTTATATATTTATTATAAAAACGACCGGATCCAGCACGAGAAAAAATTAAGTCAAGGAAAATTGAACCTGTGTGTACGCAAGGTCCTGATGATGAATGTGTATGTTTGGATAGTCGGGATGTGGTACATATAGGTAAATGAAGCATCTGTCTAATGCTCAGCCACACATGACAGAGGACAAGTTTGGTGTTGACCGCCGAAATCGGTCGATTTGCGGCGATAAAGTAGAAAATATTACGCAATAAAAGATATTCTTGGTGGTAATGTTGGACGAAAGTATATAATAGAATTTTAAAAAGTTATTTTACTAAAACAGGATTTCGATTCTCTCACTCAAAGAATGATTGTTGAGCCGCCAGAGAACTCGATCGCTTTCATCGTTCAGATGAGGCAACCGATTGAAACACTGTTTTTGCGGTACGAACTTTAATAGAACGGCACTGCTATATTATTAATTTCCAGAATATCCTCAGGTGCATAATACACACTGAAGTTACAGTTATCTTCAATGAGTTGTTGGTGTTGAAATTGTCGATCTTTTTACCATAGTAGAGCAACAGTTACAACTAACGCCTTCTGCTTGCACAGTTCCAGATTGCGCCGTTTTACAACAATCACTTCCGGCTGCTTTTTTCACGCCGAACTTTCGGTTGCTCTATTCCGCAGGAAACGATAGATCAGAAATGAGGGAACGTTGTACACGGTTGTTCGTCGAATATGACTTGTATTAGGTTACAAGTTCAGGTTTAAACGTTTTTAATCATCCCCTTTTTCCTTCTGAGGGTCTTCTCCTTTGTGACTAATTCGTAAACATAACTAAACTTCTCTCAGGGTGTTCGGAAAGTGTTAGACAGCTACAACAGCTCCCGTTGGTTCATATTTCAGAAGCATAAGAATGGTAACAACTGTTGCAAGTTCACATCACTCAATTGTACTCAGTCCGCAAATGCTGGGAGGAAGCCTGAAACTAATTTGATATATCCATAACACAGTGCCGGGACGAGAAGAGTTGTCTAATACGAACAACGGTAAGGGTACCGATAAATTTTCAGTTTCAGTTTGAACAACCATTAACCATGCACTTTCGTGCGCCGGTTTTGGTTGCTGTCTTTTGGCAACCGATAAATTGGCGTGTATGCAAAAGTACGTCTCGCTAGCAAAAGTCAACATAATTTCCACAAGCACACAGGATAGTTAGTGGAACGGTCTGACATTAGATGCGCATTGTCTGTGGTTAAAAAAAATAGTTTCTTCAATCCACACGCGAATTTCGTGAGAATCTAATAGCCGCTTTTTGGTGCGCGCAAACTACTCACAAGTATGAGTAGTACCTCACGGCACCAGTAGAAGAATACGATTATTCGCAGATAGCTCTACATGAGGGTAGACGAGATGGGTCGAACATGAAGTACGATAATGATCATCTGCCCACATTGAGTGTGTTTGTCGGAGTAATAGACGAACAAAAGAGGACACAAAAAGGATATTTAACCAGCAGGCCCACATTAGGTGTTTCCCATTGGAACGCGTGCAAATCCGTGTTCACTTTTGGCCTCAGATAAGCTTCGACGATTTTGGGGTCCGGGAAACCTGTGAAACAAGGGTCGACAGAGATGACATGAGGGAGCGTGCCAATAGCAGAAAGAAAGTAAAAGATCCAATGCTCCCCCCCCCCCCCTTCGGNGCGGCATTGGATCGTAAACCTGGACATTTACAGAAAACGAAAGCTGGTTGAGTAGAAAACATACGGCTTGTTAATTAAGCATGTGTGAACAGTTACAGGTCATTTATGTTGGTGTTCACAGAAAATCACTGGAATCGCTACACAGCCAGTGGAAATTCACTAAGTTCAGCGTATTGTGAGTTGTGTGCATTGCCAAATTTCTAACAACGATAGTCGAGCTCTCGAGCGTTCACAGAACTCGATGAATCGGTCGACAAAGAAGGGAAATTCTTGGCTTTTACTGATAAAGTGAAGATTATCGATTTGAAACAATGATAAAACCCACAGGAAAAGGATTGTAACCCACTTCGATATAGGAAAACGGCAAGTGAGTTAAAGTTCGAGACAGAGTCCAGAAATTGGATATCCGCAAATTTTTGTAAAAAGAACCATGAAATTTATGAACTAGAAATGCCGTAGTTGTATTTTACCGCGGTTTGTTCCGTACACTGATTGGAATCAGACGCGAGTGTCATAGAGCATAATAATATGAAATATAATGTCTGATGAACACAAACCGTTCAGACAGACCTATCAATACAGATACACTTATGACCATGCTGTTGGATGGATTGAAATCAAAATCTTAGCAACCGGTACATTATTCTCTACCGAACCATATGCCATAAAGTTCTTTTGTGTTTTATTTCAATTGCAATAAACACCAGAAATCTCACAGAAACCACTTCCAATGCAGACAATTAGTAGGGTGATTTTAGACAATTATTCCCGAAGCGCACCTCAGAGGGAAGCGAACGAATTTGCCGGTCAAGCCACCATTCTCTCAAGGGAGACAACACTGTGCAAGCAATATGACACTGACCACAATGTGTAAACAGTGCTTGACCTGAAAACGACCGACTAGCAGAAAACGAATACCGACCAGCACGTGGTGGTACCAACTGCACGGGCTGAAACAGACACCAATATGGTAATGAAAACCGGCCAGACCTTTCAGTAATTCATCACGGATAGATTTGATAATTGGTGAGTAGCAAGCAGAAGGGTGGGCGGTGAGCAATCATGCATAGCCACTGCACCCGACCGACTGAACGCGGTTGCTGATGGTATCGAATTTCACCTTGGAAACCAGGTACTCTCTCTCTTTGTAGCTCTTTAATCGAGGACTCATTCGGGCCAATCTGCGATGTAAAGCGCTGTTTGCCAATTCCAAGCATCAGGACAATTCTAGTTCACGTTCTGTCGCACATCATCATGAAAGAAAGCTATTAGTTAGTTTCGTTGAGTGCACACATTTGATTTTGCTCGGTGCTGAAATGGGTAGTAGTTGAGATACAAAAATGAGTTAGATGTTGCACATTTACAGGATGGGTTCGCCAAGGTACTTGTTAGCGTACGTCCTTCAACGGACTTCCCTCGTGTCAAGTAGCGCTCAAACGATAGATGAGGTGAAATACCGAATATCTAGCCAACGGGTTGCTCCGTGAAGTGAAAATCTACTGCATAACAACTGTACGGTAAGTTATCAAATCTCAACCGGCCGTATGAATCATCACACTGTTTGGTGAAACCTAAAATGAGCGGAAAGATTCAATTAGAAAAAAGAGCAAGTCGAACAGCTTTGTCTCTGTGTTCTGTACCTCCGGGATGCACGAGACAAGCGGTTATCAGACCACCGATGAATATTTAAATGGTGACCGTCTAGTCTGGGATCAATGGGTTTAACAGAATCACAAGTAGTGAAGATTTTTCATCCAGAAACATGATTAAAATATTCGACCATGCATCGTACCCACTTTTCACAGCTCATCAGTTGGGTTCGAAGAAATCACTGAAAATGTAATGCACCATGACACGCTGCATATCGTTCCCGAACGGATCGTCCGGGTGCAGTGAAGTTATTTGTCAAAGGGTTGTTTCAGTTATGGAAGGTCGTTCAAATCACCAGGTCAGGTAATGACATGATCGTCGTCAATGCGCTTCGACCCCTGTGCTTCAAAAACCTGGATTCCATACCGAAATACACTCCACGGTTAACCATCGGTAATTTTTCAATACGTTCGGACGAACATGTCCGGGACAAATTCTGGCAATAATGCTAGTAAACTAACTTACAAATAGGTGATAAAATAAACACGAACAGGTAAAAAAAATTGGCGTTCATGAATAATACAAATATAATGAGGGGAAAACAGTACTATCCAGTTTCTGCGGGGTCAACTCGTGCGATTAATAACATATGAGAAACTAAGTTCAAAACAGTATGACGTGTAGAATAATTATAGGAGCATCACTGACCGGGAGGGGGACGCAAATTGATCCATTTCCGCCGAACAGGACTTTTGACAAGATTCACTTCGCCGGAAGGTTGAATCTGACGACCATTGGAACCGGAATTGTGCCACCAATCACTAAACGAGAGAGAAAATGAATGAAAGGAGATTATCAAATGGACGAGTTACACTTTGACTATCCGGTGGGCGAATGACAAGGTCGTCGAAGTAACCACCTGAGGGTCCTGAGTTCGAACATCATTACCACCACCTTCCCATAATCTGCATTACCCCAGTCAGCCTTGGTATGGCCGCGGCCCTCTTCCTGAAATTTTACTGCACATTTTGATAACAAATGAACAAAAAGGGAAATTAAAAACTTTTCTTCCCCTACATATTGTCTTGTTATCGCATCGCATCAGTAAGGTTTCGGAATGAAGGTGCGCGAGCACCGAACGAGGTCAAACTCGTTTTATTATATTGTTTGAAGTGCTTGCAAGGTGTTGCGTATTTCGCCTCAGTGGGGTTTTGGCACAAACAAATTGGATGTCAAAACAAAAGCAGGTGAAGAACAAGTTCGGGTTGTGAACGTATTTCTGTTAACTAAACGAATTGGCATTTTACTTAAACACTTTGCTCAAAATGTCTGCGTTTGGAAAATCACTATCTCGATGGCAAAGGGCGTATCTCGACGGTTCACTTCGGATGACTATACAACCCAATGATTTTAGGATTCGATATTGGAACCGCGTCACTACTACTTTTGGTGGGAGACAGTCCCGCTGTTACCCAGGTCACTCATCGCGGCGGTTAGTAGTGTTTTGCTTTACTGTTGCGAGAACTGGTCCCTCCGTATTTGACCATCGATATATTCGAAGCATTGACCATATCCAGTAGGAACATCGGGTGAGCAACGATGAGTTTAACCGTAGTTTGTTGGGTGTGGCTAGTAGTTCTTCACAAGAAGAAGTCGTCCTACACCGCCGTCAAATGGCTTGGTAACGTTTTGCATATGCTTGTCCATCGGCTATCTTTCCGTACTCTCTTTGCGCTTACTAGGCAAGGCTAGAAGAAGCGCCGCGGTGGTTAGGCCACGACACAGCATAGAGATATGAAAAGGCTGGCTTCAGCTTTGGCCTCCGTTAGTGCAGCCCGCCTTCCATGTTTGGGCACAAGGGACGAGAATTTTCGTGGCCTAGATACCCTGAGAGATATGGCTCAAAATACAAATTAGTGGCGCAAATGCTGTACGGTCTGTTTGTTCAAATCCCGTCCGCCATAAAATAACAATTGAAACACACGAAAAAATCAAGTGTACGATGAAACAAACAGATTATCGTTATTCAACTTGACTATCTGATCCCCTTTCACTTTGCTATTTATCCTAACCCTCCATGTTCCGTTATGGTAGCAGGGTCTCATCGTTCGCCATTACGATCACGCAAGTTTCGAGAGAGGGGAACATCAAACGAACAGAGGACGGGATAATTTCGAGATTTCCAAGTCGAGAATGATTAGTGATGAAGATTGAACGAAACTAACACAAACTGTTTTAATGGTTCAATCACTAAATGGACTAAATGATCCGGAGCATCCATGCCCCTAAGCCATTTCGTCCACTCGGAATCCTCAGCTTCCGGCTCCGGAGCTTGTCGGACGAACTCGCTCAAAATTTCTACTGCAGTCACCGGACCCACATTTCGAATTCCTGGTGTGTAATCACTTCCGCATAACATGGCCAGACGGAGTATGTTGGCCACATCCAAACCTGTGGGGACAGGAGAGGAAAACCACGCGAAAATAGGGTGATGATAAGTGGATTCAAATCTTCATAAACAATGAAATTCGTGAACCAAACATCAATTCAGCTACTAAAATTAAAAAAAACTAATCCCTAATGAGATGTAGCCCGTGATCTCAGTTGAAAAGTTTACACTCGCCCCCCTGCACAACCGTGAAAAATAAACAGATGCGGGATGATTGATTAGAACGCACTGTGGATTGGTTGCTTTAGTTTGACAATCAGGTAACATGGATTCATCCAACAACTTAAGCCTATGGAGGGAGGCATGACTGATTTGTCTCTGATTTAGGAAGCTATGCTGAACGACAATCACAAGCGAAAGGCAGAGTAAAATCGATTTTTGCGGATACTGCCAGTAAGATACAATATCTTGTTGACCAATTCAGCAAATTAAAAAGGCGGGAGTGAGTCAAATTGTCCACTGGATAAACGTGAAACTAAGACGCATGAGTTATTTTTCAATGTATCAAATGCCACCAAACAGCTTTCGCCAAGTAAATACTAGACTACTCTTCTTGTCTTAACAAATGTTCCAGATTGTGTTGTTTGAGAAACGCAAACATTGGACCAAAGCATCAGGGAATGCAATAAACGGATATGACCAGGCGACCACTAAATAATCACCAGCGCCAGGTGAATTTATTCCAATTACCCGTCCTTGGAATGTAATCGGTGACATTCCCACCCTTGGAACGCGTTAACAATACGATCTTCCATAAAACGATATGATTACTATTATATTTCAAACAAAAGCGTGGCGAACAATATTCTCAATGTGTTCTGTGGCACTAATGAAACGTTATTATTATATTTCACACTCGTCCGAGGCCAGACTGTGCCAAACAAATCGTGGTTTAATAATCTTTATGAAAAAGAAAACCTTCCGTGATTTGCATGTGGTCGGAATACTACCAGGTTGCCCAAGTCAAGGCAAGTGAATTTTCTTGAGGAATTCACCACCGGAACCTTAAACTAGGCAAAGCCTAACCCGTAAGGCAGCGGGCGGGGTCAGACGTCCAAGAAGCCCAATACGCCGTGATATCCAATCCAGCCGATGACCACTGCCACAACCGGGAAGTTGTGGGTGTGGTTCGTACGCCTTCTCTTGATTGGTTTGGAATCAAGGTTTTTGGTTAACTCCCCTAGGTGAACTACCAGTGGCCCACCGACCCGGATATCGGCTTTTCGTCCTCTCACTTTGATGGGAAAATAACTCCGCCGCGAGAACGCAGTGAGTAGGGCTTCCTCCGCAGAGGCTATTTGATACGATTGGTCGTATGAGGTGCATTTCGCGAGGTGCAAAGGAAGGGTGACCAGCCGCAACTCTAGACACCCAACCCCGACCATACTGAGGATTTCGGGGGCGAATTATGAAGTTTACCCTAGTCCTTGGTGAGATAACACTACTTATTATCTAAAAGGAACCCCGACGACCAGGAAAAATCAGGCTGATCTTTTGAAGGGCAAGGTGACCAAATTATTCTGAAGAAGTCGGGTGACTCATACGCATAAAATTACACTCATCACTTACTCCGTATAGGACACAAATGGTATGACATTTAATCTGATTTTTTCCGCTGGCGATGAAGAAAAGCGGGTGCAGCCTACACACTGGTGAGACTTGTGATCATAAATAGAGAAAAAAAGATCGAAATTTGTTGTCAAACGTAAATACAACATTGTCCTGTTGTGAAGCTGGTCACCTAATTTATATTCACTGTAATTAGAAAAGGTTCTCACATCGCGTCAAATTGAAATCCAATATTGAACGAAAGAATTGATAGTTTTGAGGATATTGCCTTACTGCTTCTGTTCATCCTACAAGAATATACCAACTCTGTCGACAGGTGATCAAGTCGGTTACTCCGGGACATTTTAGTTGCATTCCACTCCAATCCAAACAAAGTCACAGATAAGATCATGCACTCATTGGAAAAATAATAAATAATATGCGGTCCTGTAGGTTGTGGTCGTTATCCAATACGCGATCTGGATAGTTTTTGGTGTGAACTCAGCTAAGCTGGTAAGAACAAGGTGGTGTTAACTAAAAGTATTTTTTACCATCTGACTTCCGACCTTTTTGATTGGCATGCTCAGCTCGCATGAAGTGAGATAGTAACTAATTGCTTCATATTATTGCAACCTACCCAAAGACGTTCGGACGTCTTCGATCCGATAGCACGAAGGCGACCGGTGTTTGGGCTTCGAGCGTGGTTCATCCGCACCACCAAACAAATGACGACAAACATATCGAGCACCGAAAGGCCACACGTCCGAATCATCACTGGCCACAAGATCGACCGAATCTGTTCGCTGCAGGGTGACGCACTGAGCCTCCGCTTCTTCGGGACTGACCACAAAAGGCATACCAAACAAACGTATCAGATCCTGAGAGAGTGAGAGAGACAAAATAAGAGTGTTCATCGGTGGACAAACGGATTAAAAAGTTTACACATTAGCGCAACACTATGATTATCAACAGAAATACCCACTTTTGAAATTGAGCTTAGTTTTTTCAGACATAAGCATACTTTGTACCACAGGTGTCATGTGGTGGCAAAAAAAAAGAACATATTCTGTTATGTAGTGCAACTGTACAAATTCAATCATTTCATCTGAAACATACTTGAGCTTCTGTGACACATTTTGCAGTGGTTGTCTGAGCTTGGCGTGCGAGACGATCCGCCTCTTCCCGCAAAACATCGTCATCCAGGGCAAACGACTCTTCATCTTCAAACCAGTTCTCGGTACATGACAAATCTTTTTCCGCTTGGCTCAGCAAGGCCAACTCTAAGTCGGACGCTTCAGACGAAGAACTATTTTCAGAAGAGACCACCTGATGCGCTTCCTTCTCCTTCATGTTCAAATCGTCATTCACATCTGCAACTATACTATCTTGGATCGGGACATCCACAAAATCTGCATCATCTTCGTCATCCTCCTCGTCGTTATTCACGGCAATCACTTCCTGAGTTACTTTCGTTTCAGAAACCTGCGAAATTTCTGATATCGCTAGTGGCTCTTTTGTTCGTTCAGTATTCTCTAATTCCAGTTTCTCTTCATTTTCGGATCGATTGAGCGTATTCTGCACGTCAGTACTAACAGAGAGATCCCGAGGTTGCTCGTCTTTTTCCTGCGTCTGTAACACCGAGGTCGCTTTCATAATAGATGCTTCGCTATCTGCAACAGTGGGTGATTCTAATTCACTAACAAAAGGTATTTCGTTCAAATCAGGCATTTCAAGTGATTTCTGCATTTCTGATTCTCCCGCGGATGATGACTCCGACTGGAACAGTACGCGCGAAGGGGCAGGGGAAGGTGAACTGATCGCATTGTTCGATTCGACGTTTCTGGAAACCGGATCCCCAGACTGAGAACTGGAGTAGTCTTCTCCTGAGGAATCAGCGGAACATTTCCCGTCGGATTTGATGGGGCTTGTTTCGTACTGCAACTGTGCATTCTCCGCTCTCGATTGTGGAGAGGAGTGCGTGGAAGAGAGCGACGAGAATGATCTGACAGGGGTTTCCTGCACATGTTCCATTTCCCCTTGATTTTGAGCGTGATGAACTAATTCGATAAGGCTGAATGCGCAACCAGATGTAGCGGGAGGAGAGGAGGGAGGCAAAAGAAAACGGGAGGAAACAATAACACTGCGACCCAAAAACTCCCGTTTGGTGGGAAGATGGCAGCACAATTTTAACCAAGTAGGATGTAGGAACGTAAGAAAAGGAGTCGTACATGCGGCGCTAAGCCTAACGGAGTATGCAAAATATAACTTTAACACGGAAACAAACATTTCGAAGCTATGCGATTAAAGTGTCGGATGCATTTAAAAGAAAGTTTGAAGCGAAATATTGTAGTAGACAA